CTTGCCTGTGGCACAGATCACTGTTGTAATTCATTATTGCTTGTTAAAGGAGCCTCAGGACCTGTGAACATCAATATTAAAGGCTACCTGGAAAATTAGGTGCCGTCTTGAGTAAGAGGGGTTTGCCTCTATTCCAGGAGCTGTTATATAAGGAAAAGCTATTGCTAGATTTTTGTTTATCTCTTGACAAAAAATACAGGATTTTATACAACTCTGTTTTTAGCAAAAGCTGTGAAGCAGAGAGCTAGGGAAGAGTGGTCTTTTAAAGCAGAGACAGTTTCTAGCCTGTTAGCAGATCTATAGAAGTTTAGACCTACCTACTCCTGACAGTCATTTGTAACAAACAGCTTCTATCAACCTACTTGTGTCAGGGAATATCAGTACAGAGCTTTCAAAAGTTTTACCTGCCTATGTATGTATTTAATTCATCTTTCAACTTCATATAGGCACTCTGCAAATATACAGATAAATGGAAAAGAAGTAACAGCTTGACCAGACCCAACATGTGTCTCCATGACCTCCTTGCCACAGAGAATCAGCACTGTCTGAGCTGAGGTGGACATCTCTTCCCTGTACTCTGCACTCCACAGGTCTTTCCAGGACTACACTGAACCTGGTAGGTGCAAATTTGTGATTCTCACAATGGTAACATAAAAGAAAGGATCTGAGAGAAGCCTGCTTTGAAACAGCAACTTTCTGGTCTTTCCTCTCAGTTTTTGTTAAGAGTTGGTGCCCTCTTCTTTATTTACTTCTAGGGAAATAAAATATGGGTCTGGAGGTACCCAAAATTATCTCAGTTGCTTAATTATTATGTCATATTGTGCATGATGAAGTTTACTGGAATTAAAATTACCATCAATAAACTTTCAAATAGATTGGGTTCTTCAGGTGAGCTTTGGTCCTGAAGGAATTATTCTGAGTGTATATACTTAGCAAAAGTAGTCATTGAACTTAAACCGTGGGAGAAAAAGGATATGAGTAAGACTCCTGAATTGTGCAGTGATACAAATTATAGCATTGGCCTTTTGTGACTCATAAGAAAATGAGTTGTGACTTCAGGAACTAAGAGCTGTGGCTCAATCCCAGAGGGTTAAGTTTTCCCATCGCTGCATATCCTCACATCAAGCCATCTTTAATCTTTTGGCAGAGCCTGACAGGAGAGTAAATTGTGCAATTCCATCGTTTCAGAATGAAATGTGCTTAATGATATCTTGACCTATGATCTCTGGGATGGAAGAAAAAACAGGTTAATTATTAATTTATGTGCATTTTTTTCTTTGAGAAGTGACAAAAAAGCCCATTTTAAGTAGATTGAATTGTTCCCTTTTGGTCATACTGTCAGTGTGAAATGAAAGAAATAATTTGACCAACTGATTTTTGATTCCTGATCGAAAGTAAAAGTAAATGTGGATTGATTTTGACTGAAGTAAGGAAAGTGTAGCATTCAAATACTTACTTAGCTTCTTTGATTTAGTTTTTTTCCTGCAAGATTGAATAAATATTGCATTTATTTTTATATTTAACATAGAATTTTACATATGACTATTTTTATTTGCAACTTTACAACTATATTTTGCAGCTTTATTTTTCTACGCACAGTCTGAAAGAGAATCAGACATAATGTAGTTTTCAAACAGGTAAAGCAGGCCTGCTTACAGCTTTCTATTAAGAGGTTATAAAAGTCTATCAAAGCACAAACTCTGCATCCTTTTACAAATATTTCATTTTATTCTCTCCCTGTAGGCAAAACAAGCAAAACAAAATAAAAAGCAGTCACCAAAGTGAAATGTGTGTTAATACGAGTCATAACTGTCAATCAAGCAGTTCTTTCCTCTTGATGATTGAAATAATTGACTTTCCTAAAATGAACATTCACAGACAAGCGGTGGTTACTACTGGTTGTTCAGTTCAATTAAGACCCTAAAGCAGGACACAAAGAGATAAAGTCATCTAGGTTTAATAGGTGTTCATCCCTCTCTCACCTCATCATTAGCACAAGATATCAGAGAACCAGGGCAATATCTAATACACATTTTTTAATCTAAGGTTTGTGTTCTAAAATTTTGAGCAACAACTTTTTTCCAAGGCCAGAGCTCAAATCAACATAGTGAGCTCAAACCAAACCTGAAACCTGTGCCTGTACCTGTTGGACATCTAATATGTGATTTTTATAGGTTTTGATTCCTTTCTCAGAGCCAAGTTTCACCTGTTGTGATGTTTATCTCCTATTTAATTGAAAAATATGTTGAGGGCAGGAAAATATAGCCTTGTATTAACAGTCATTTTCTGAAGTCACCACTGTGTCCCAGTGGAAAGACACTCATCCTCCAGAACCCGGGGCTGTTTGGGTTGGAGTTCTTGCACCCAGAATTATCTAAGCTGAACAGATCAAAGGGTAGAAGCTGAGCAGAGAGGTTCTGCTGTTGGGCAACTGATGGATGGTTTCGTTCCCCCAGAAAAAAGCAGCCCTTCAGAGAGCACAGCAGGGAAGTCATTCCAGTGCAGTGTGAAAATCCGACAGCATTACGGAATGAATGGCCCTTTTACAGTGGGGGGATCCAAAATAAAACTACAGCTGTGCAGCCAGGAACTTCACTGTACTGCAGCAAGAAACACAGGACAATTCAGGGCACTGTTCCACACCAGGATTAATCCCGTCTGACTGTGGACTCTCACACGTGTATCTCTCCTCCAAAAAATTCCTTTCCCATCGGATCAGTGAGTCATATTCCAGCAACACACCGAATCACTCAATCTAATATGAGGAAAGGGTGAGGAACACGTCAATACAGTTAAGAGGGGAAAGGAGACAGAATTAAACCATCGCTTTTGGCAGCAACACACGGTTTGGTGAAATTAAGCACAACATGAAACAGAGCCTCCAGAGAGCTTGGGTGAATTGGAGATAATTTAGGAAAAAATAATTTGAAGCCTCTTGCTATGAGGAGTAAGTAGTACAGTGTAGTTTTGAGGCATTTCTAGCAAGAGGAGAAACATGTAGTGATTTTTTTGTGAAAAATTAAGTCTCTGGAAAAATAAGAATTTACCTGTATCAGGCTAGGAATTTTATTTTTCCCAGGGGGATTTTTACAAACACCTGACCTGTTGAAGCAGTTTAGCTCTTGTTCCCTATCAGTTGAGGCTGACACTGGCATACATCTGCAGCATCTGTTTCTGAATTTTGTCACACTGAGTTTACTGATGGTGAATGTTAACTCATTTCGATTGTAAATAGGCTGAAACACCAGCTCATAAAATATTTAATGTCTGGTCTCCAGTCCTTTTCTTCATTTTCCTCATTCTTTGCTTTTTTTTTCTGCAATTCTTGCTCTCTGAAAGACCTTCACTGTTTAATTTTTGTGCCATCTTTCTTTTTTTTTCGTGGCACTGTAGGGTAGCAAGGTTTTTTTATAACTCAGGCCTTTTTCCTGCAGAGGGACAGTGTGATCCTTTCGAGGCTCCCATCCATCTGGTGTCGCACAGACAGCAGCTGACACTGGGGCAGGTTTATAAGTAGAGCACTGAGAGCAATTAGCATTTGAATTAAAGCTACCTGTGGATAACAACAGGTGATTACCCTATTTAACAGCTGTTAAGTGGTGTTATTTGCCAGCTATAGACCACAGACTGAGTGAATTGTATGCATACAAATGGGAGTTACAGTGCATACAAACGAAGGACGTTAATTCAATAGTATTTTTAAAATTGCAACTATGAAATCTATAGAGGTCAGCTCAAAACAAGTAACCGGTAGCAAAAGAAAGGCTTTTAAAAGTGTTCTAGAACGCAGGACAAGAACTTCTTAACGACTGAAAACCTCTGTTTGGGCAGTCAACATTTTGCTCTAGAAGCAGAAAAGCAAAACTTGCTATTACCCTGATTCAGCTTCTGGCAAAAAGAGAAAATAGTGAGAAATTAAAGCACATAAGATTATTTTCTCCTTCTGTTTTATCCGCATTTCCAACAAGGCTTAATCAACCTCTGTTCTTTGGAAAGTACAACACTGTTCCCTCTGTACGTGTCTACTTGCCTTTGTGCATATGTGGGAGAAGCTGCTCCACTAACTCACTCCCTTCTGTGCTGGGGGCAGATAGATGTCTTTTTTGAACATTTGTGTAGCGTGTGGCTGTGCAACATCCTCTTAAATCCACGTGGGCTCTGTACCACGGTTCTGCTTCATGTATTGCCACAGAATATCTGACTGAGTCTGGCTGCACCTCCTCAGTAGACATTCTCGTTGGCTCTGTGAACCCCTTCTCCAAGGACATGGATTTTCAATGACCTTGTTTTAAGACCTCTCAGGGCATATGAAGAGAATCTGTCTACCAAGAAAGGCTGATTAAATTTCTGCTTTAAGTGTTTACTTGCACTCTACTAACAAAATTATTTTGTTGGCAATGGTTGGTCTCACTGTTACTCCAGAACTGACTGACTTTTGTGTAAGTGCAACTGTCACAATTTACAAAATGAACTTAACTCCTTCCCTGTGGCATAATTATCCATTCAGTTAAAAAGCTACTTTGATTTGTGCATGTGTACATCTTCATTGTATTAGTATGAATAGAGATGTCCAATTCATATATGTAGGCAGTCAGTGCTCACTTCCAGAGTGGTGGAATGCAGGATAAATACTACTAGAGCTTAGAAGGGATCCCTGTTTTTTACTAAAGAAACCCGCCTGATTAAAGCATTTACTGTACTAGGCAACTGAATAGAAATTAAATGCCTGTTAACTATCTGATGCTGGTGAATTGTATGGTACATCCTTATTTAACTGGAATTTGATGTGGGTCAGAACGGAACCTGTCTGCTATTAAGAGGCTCGTAATGACTTTCAGAAGTTTAGGTTAAAGCACCACTCCCCTCAGTCATAGTTACCCTGCAGAAGGCTCGGACTGTTTACAAATAAGCCCTATGGAATCAAAGCAGTTATCTGAATAATGTTCAATAAGGGTTGGCTATACAAACACCTCCAAGTATGTCTTTTCCACAGGGTTATCCAGGGATCATTATCTCAGAGATGGTGGTGCTCACTCGTTCTTCCCCCCACTGCAGACCAGAAACAGACTCCGTATTTGTGAGTAGGCTCTCTTTATACATAAAATATATATTGCTCATCTTTTATTTATTCTTTTGATGTCAAGCAATAAATGGTGTATTTTTTGTAGGTATCTCCCTGTCACAAGAATCTTGAAAAGTTACAAAAATTTGCTGCCAACCAACTAGCACTTCCTAAAGCCACCAGTCCTAAAATAGTGCCCAATACCACATTGGTACAGGTCGCAATTCAGAATGCCCTGAGATTTGCTATTCACCAAGCTTTTAGCTTGCTTTATTTTACAGCTGCAGGACTCTTACTATTGCATGCAGCATCCTTGCTATCAGCACCTGGACATCTTGACTTGTTTCAAGATTTAGTGTGATAAACAGCACGTGTCTTTTTTTTCCTTTTCCATCTTATGTTGGGTAATGGGTATCTTGGACGAATAGGAGGTCTCCTGGCATAGGAAGAGCAGTAGTATAATGAAAAGAGGTGGGTATTCAGCACAGACAGGCCAACTGAATGAGGGAGAGTGCAAGACATGCTGGTCCCACACCTGAAAGAGAAAAGCCCCAGGAAAGCACTGCCAAATCCCCAGGCAAGCATTGCTAAAGCAGCTCTTCATGGAGAGCACGAGGCACTTGGCAGTGCCTCCCCAGGGCACAGTGAGATCAATTCAATCCATTTTGCCTTTCTGATGCCTTCTTCCTGCTAATCTATATCTGAGATGATTTTTTCACACAATACAAATCCAAATGTCTTATTTAAAGATAACAAGATAAAGTAAAAATACATCTAGCTCTGGATTTTTATTTTTTAAATTAAAAAGGAGTAGTTTAAAGTGCAGAGGATAACACTGTTCTTGAGTGGTGACAGGCTTCAGTATCTGCTGAATCAGTGCCTGAAGTGAAAATTTCCTGGTTTGATGCAAACTAAGTTGTTCTCTATCCAGGACAAAAAGTCATTTGTCTCTAAAAACTCATGAGACAAAGGAACCCTCAAATTTACTTTGTTGTATAGAAAAAATATGTTAAATATTCTTTAGGAGTACAGGAGGTCAACACCGTGACTGATCAAAACTCTTGAAAAGATGGTCATTTATGTCAGCCACACATCCACATAACCTGCAAATGTGCCAAACTGATTCATAAACTTGATTGTTATATAATTATGACACTAAACTGCAAAGGAAATTATGATATGTTGTAAATATTTTGATTTGTTCTCTGTTTTTTGTGTTTGTCACATCTATCAAGAGCAAAATATAGAAAATGCAAATGCATATTAACTAACAAATTACTAATATATGAAAGAAATATGACAATTGCAGTACTTTATTAGAGCCACAAATCTTTTTTTTTTAATTATTATTATTGTGGCTGAAAATCATAATAAATAAAGGATGAAAGAAACTTCATCCAATTAAGGTACTCCATTGTAATGCTAGCAGTATTGATAGAATAGCTGTTTAACAACATTGTAGTGAGTGTTCAGTTGTCACAGCTTCAGGAGGTGTCACACAGCAGTTTAATACGTTATTTCTTTTTTCAATATTTCTTGAGACAGTGCTTAATATCAGTCATGTTTTTATTCAGTTGTTTCCAATCTTTTACAGAAAAAAAAGAATGCTACAATATAGGTTTTCATTATTTTAAATCTACCATCCCAATCAATTTGAAAAGTGAGAAAAATAAACCTTATTAAACCACTGCTTTTTTCACAATCCTTATAATAAATAATTCTTGCAATAAATAAACGAAACTTTATTGGTAAATAACACAGGAAATCCATCAGGCTGAGGAGGATTAAGTGTTCCTTTCAGAATAGAGACACATTCTTCAATGTCCACATGCCCAGAGGTAATGTTTAATTAACCCACTGAGTTATAAATTCATGCAGACTTTTCTTCATCATTATAATATGCATAATAGAAAATGCTTCAGAAATTATTATCTCTCAGACACCAACTAATATTAATTTGCCAATCATTTAATCAGAAAATCTTTGCAAATAGAGATGGTTAAGGACTCAGGTGATCCTTGGAAATTTTTAAGTTCATTTGCTGCTGCTCTGTTTATCAGAGAATTGTCAAGCAAACTGTCATCTCATCTAGAATTACAGATTGGTTCTAGACAGACATTAGTGCTCAAGTCACATCTCTACTACAAGTCCTTCCTTCCCCTTCTTTTCTCATGCTGTGTGTGGTGCCCTACACTTGCTGTGCTCCAGTGTCCCCAGCAGTGAGATATTTGCTATGGATACTCATACCAGACACAGCCATCAGGGCAGATCTGTGCCAAAAGAGCATAACTTAGGGACATAAACCAACTATAAGACAGACATGGCTTGACCATTCTTTGTATTTCTGATATGCAGGTTTACACCAAAGTCATTGCCATCATTTATAGTTATCCTTTGGATAGTGTGAGCTAGTCATGTTCACATGATGTGTTCCTGTTGACTCTTATTAAAGTAAGTTTATATGGGAATGAGGTAGACAGAAAGAGAAGATCTCTCTCATGTCCAGCTATTTCTTTCCTGAACTACTCAGAGTCCACTTTAAATAAAATCTAATCCAAACTGGGCAAAGTGCATTTAGTGTTCCCTTTTGAAACCTTCCAGAATTCCTAAACTATCAGCTCTTGTGGTTCACTGACTACCTGAATGAAATATTTTCAACTGATTTGGCACATTTTCAGAGTAACAGATGGTTCCATCTTTACTGCACAAACAATAGCTACAGCAACAACAAAATAATCTGTGATTCCGCCTGGAACCTCTTTAAGTATAAGAGAGAGAGGTCATAGACCATCTTAAATTCCTGATAATTACCTCAAGGAAGAAATATATTTCTCCAGAAATTCACATTATAATTTTCTAAGCAAAGTATTACATCCATGGAGCAATTGTCTGAGACTGAGGAGACTGAACTGTTACGGATGAGTTTTTAACAGGACCTCCCCAGCAATACAGCAGCTGTAAGGAGAGAGATTATGAAAATGTGATGCTGAGAAACTTCTTCACTAAGGCTAAAAATAAACTAATATATGTTACAAAGAAAATCATAGGAAAAGAAAATGGGAACTAAGCTCAGAGAGGCACAAATTATGTGATTAGGAACATGCGGCAAAAGCAGGAGACACTTCAAACAGTCAGAAATGGTCCAGATTACTACCCAATTTCTTTTAGAGAATGTTTTTAATGGTCATGGTCTAGGAGTATTTCTTATAAAACAGTATACACTGTATTTTTGGAATGGGATTCTCCTGAATTTACCTTTTAGTTTCTAATATTTCAGAATAGGAAAAGCAATATAATTGACAAAGTAATTTTCTTCTATTATTGAAAAAGACATAATCAGATATATCAGATTAACATTAGGGATAAAGTAAGAAACAGTGCTCATTGTATTGGATACATACTGATTTGCAAGTTTTAAGGGTAATATATTAAAAAAGTGACATTCATTAAAAAGAAAACCTTACTCTGTACAGACTAGCTGTCAAATATTAATAGGAAACCTGATTTTTTTTCTACACATTTCTATTTTTAATTCCCAAATAAATTTTCCAGAATACTAGGGTATATTATAGAAGAGCATACAAGACCTATGCCAGTGTCAGTTTTCTGTCTTTTACAGGCAACTCTAATTATTGGGAGTGTGCCACAGAAAAAATATTTGGGGAGCTACTTTAGCTGAGGCAGAGCTTAAACATTTAGCTGCTGTACCTTTGGCTTTTCAGCTGCTCTCAGCCCATGCTGTCCTTTCTGTTCAGATGGTGAATAGGGTGGGGAGAGGATCCTGCTTAAAGTCAGTATGCTGAGGACTTCATCTTCTGGTCATTTTTCAGCTAGATTTGATTCCTGATCCAATTCATTGCATGAATCTGATGATGAGACTGCAGCGTGTAGGGGGAATAACTCCTAATGAGCACAGAGTCCATAATTTAGCTCTGCTACACAGTAAGTGCACATCAGGCTATGGCTGGCATGAACAAATGTGTTTCTCTGCTCCTGAGCAGGGAGAGACAGGCTCCATGAAGGAAATCTCTGCTGGAGACCAATAGATGTGCATTTGCAGTGACAGGAGGGCTTTGGGGAAGTGGTCTGGATGTCGAGGGTGGTGCTTTGAGGTAGATTAGTTCTACAGGCAGGCTGGCAGGTCAGGCAATTCCTGCAACCTGCAAATAAATGTGGTCTATTCCCTCACTGAGGTACAGCTGGTATTTAACTGAGGGGTTCAAGAGCCCTGAACATCCGTCAGAGAGGGCGAACAGGTGGAACCCAGCTGTGGCCACAGTTGCTTCTACAGTTCATGGGTTATACTGAATCCTACAAGATTCCCTATGAAAAGCACACTACTTGTAGGTTAACATATTGCCCTCAGTCTGTAGCCTGGGCTCCTGCTCAGGGAGGGTTTCATTTTCTCTTTACTCAATGGAAGCAACAACAAGGAGACATGGAAGCAACCTTAGTTTCTAAATAATTATATTTGCTGAGCATTCACAGGGAGCTTGCTGCACTCTCACCAGTGATCTGACTGATTTCTGGCAGCTGCTTTACCCTGATGCATTGAGATCATCGTTGGAGTGCTCACAGGATACTTTTAGGGGTATTTCTTTTTCCTGTGTGATGAAAATGATGGCAACAACTAGTAATCAGCAAACAGCCCATGGCATGACTGCAGAGACAGGTAGTTTTTTGAAATATTTTGTGTGTTGAACAGAGCAATTTTATTTTGCTTAAGTTCTACTTCTAATATTCCTTACATTCAAGCATTCCTGGGGGAAAAAAAGCTGTTATATAAGAAAAAGATTCAGGCTGTTCTTAGTGAGATCAATACAGCTCATCTGTTTACATGATTCTAAGGAGGATACGTTGGGTAAATACTCTGGGGAAAAGTTCTCTCAGTGAATATTGAATGGTAGAACTTCTTTTTTGTAATTAGTCATATACAATTGCTATGTCATGAGGCCTACATTTAAGCTTACTTTAAGAATCTGTTTTTCTGTGGATTACTGAAGAAACACCAAAGATATCACTTGAACAAAAAGGTTCTTCCAGGACATAAAAAAGGTGATGCAAAATAAAATGTCTTTTTTTTCCCCTCCTTATATATTCAGTGATTGACAGTTCTTAGTTTTTTTATTTTGTATCTTCTATTTTTTGTCATTTTCCTCATGGTTTTAAATGAGTTTTAACTTTCAACCATTTTGTTGTCCATCAAAATCAGAAAACAGAGAAATCTTACCAAGTGAAAACTTTTGATTTTCAGTGCTGCCTGTTCTGTCATTCTTAGTTCAGTCTTAAATTTAGGATCTCTCAGTGGGAGAAGATAGATCTTTGGTGAAGACTGACTTTATCACAGCTTGACAGCACTTTATTATCTGCCTTAGTTTTATTGGCTTTGATGTTTTGTGTTTATTTAGCTGTAAATTGAAAATAAGTTGAAAATTCAAACCAGGTTGCAGTCAGAGCTCTAGGACAGCTTTGTTGTGGAGTGCAGCACATTTTAAATACTTTTTGCTAAATTAATCTCTTTTTTTTAAAAAAAAAAAAGGAGGAACTTTCAACACTTGACCTCAGGTGCTACAATGATGATGGACTTGAGGCTGTAAGTGCTTTACTGAGAACACTGGAAAAATACACAGGGGCAGTCAAACTGAATGGCAAAATGACTCCAAAGTCAGTCTGTCTATGAGATTTTGCTGAATCTCTGTGCAATGTGTACCTTTGACTGTGCTCAAGGTTGTGTTCTTTATGCAGAGTTTACCTCTCCAAGAAGGGAGACAATGAAATGCCCCAGAGCCAGGGGCCAGCAGCAGAAACTGCTGGGAATCAGCTGTGTAGGCACAAGGGTTTTTCATTTTCATGGAATTATAGTGGTTTGTGTTGGAAGGGATCTTACACATCACTTAGTTCTAAACCCCTGCCAGGGGCAGGGACACCTTCCACTAGCCCAGGTTGCTCTAAGCCTCATCCAACCTGGACTTGAACACTTCCAGGGATGGAGCAGCCACAGCTTCCCTGGGCAACCTGTGCCAGTGACTCACCTATCATGCTTTGTAGTATAATCCAATCTCCCTAAAAAACTTTCTAGCTCAAGAAGTACAATTCATAGCAAAAGAGTGATAGAGAAATGAATTTTACATAAAACAGTTTTACATCAGTGCTGGTTCATTTCCTACGGTTGGGAAAGCTCATTTGTACAGTGGGAAAGGTCTGACTGTGTCTTTGGATGATGCTGAAACACACATCAGCTCTGCCATTTGCTGGGGTGCATTGGCCTTAAAAGAAAGATCTGACAATTTTCTTCTTACTCTTACCTATTTCGCAACTCACAGTTCAAGTTATACAGGCTTTTCAAGGTCAAGTGTGCTTTCATGTCTTCAGCATGTTTCTGTTAGAGTGCTATAATGTAGGATTGTGTTTAGCTGATAGTCTTGGACAACTCAATTTGTTGTTTGGTATTTTCCATAGATATAAAATGAGACAATGACATGGTGGGTACATGGCAGGTACGTTCTGAAGATCTGTCGTTAATTATCTGCAAGAAGCCACAGGAAAATCATATGAAGTTTATATTTAACTTTTAATGTGTTGTAGATTGCTGAAGGAAATAGAAGGGACTAGACAGAAGGGCCAGAAGGTGGGAATTCCTGTGATGGATACTGCTTCGTTCCCTTGTCTCTGCCTGCTTTGTGTCTTGCCTAATTAGCTTGTATTTAGTCTCTTGGAGCAAAGAGTTCCCAACTACATGTTTGTCCATGACAAGCGCAGTGAGATCCTGCTAGAGGACTGTTCCAACAGTGATAACTGTTTTCAGTGTCACATGCCTTTTTTTTTTTTTCCTAGTGAAAATGAGCAAATTAAAGACCATAACTGGGATGTTTACAGCCGCAACATGGTGAACAAACAGATAAGGTAATTTTACCCCTTCTGTTAGTTACCAAAGCAACACTGTAAAGATCCTTTTAATTTAGTTTAGTGCTGTGAAGATTAAAGCTTAATTAAAGCGATGATATTAAAAAAAAATAAAACCTGAAACAGCATAGGAAAAATAGAAAGACATAATTATGGTCCAGTGAATGCTTATCACTCGTTATGAAACTTCAGGGAAGAGGCATTTTTTTCTCTCCTTTGAGAGTAATTTTATTCTGGTCATAGATTTGAATGACCAGAACAACCTAGGATCATAGCTGTTTATAAATTACTAAGGATAGTTGAAGAATGTGTTATTCTACTTATAAAATAGGGGATAGTAAGTTTTCCTTTACTGGTCCATTTCCTCAAAAAAAATCTCTTTCATACCCATCAGGGAGAAAGACTTTATGAAGAAAAAAAAAATTACTGTTTCTCGGTATTTCACATGGTTTGTATAGAAATTCAGCTATTTAATATTAAAAGATTTCTTACTTTCAAATTATTTAATAAACATACCCTGTTGTGAATTTGGAAGGTGTCAGATTTTCAAGTGGTCCTAAATGGCATCATTTCCTTTTATCAACAGAGCTGCACTAATTTGTACTAGGTGAAAACATATGTGAAGGACTTGGTGTGGTATAATTATTAGAAATTCCTCCAGGAATGTGACTTTTGTTGGCTAGTTAAACATTTGTTGCTTTGCCAGGTTTAAACTAATGAGTTTAAAATCATTGTGGGGAAACCATATGTTTGCCCAGTAGAAGGCAAACCAGGACATGAGATGATACTCTTTAACTGCAAAATTCAAAGTAGTAATCTCTGTTCATGACAAAGCAGGAGCACTAGAGAAAGAGCAGTTTCAGCTTATTAGCTTTGTTGATAGCTGTCTTTCTGGTTTCTTCAAGAAGTGAGCTGGCAAGATGCAATAGCTCTAAACACCACAGGAGTAAAAATGCCTTTTCACTAAGACCCTCTGTTCATCTTGCTCAAGCATCTTAAAACTACTTTAACCATATATCACACATTACTTCTGTGCACAGAATCACTAGTAAAACTAGACATTTAGCCTTATGTCAAAGCAGCATTACATTTATTACAGTATGGTGATGACTTCTGTTGTTACAACTCAGCCTGGTAACTTTGACTTTTTGCCCCAGGCTACTGTGGAAACCAAAAGGTCACTGGACTTCAGGGACAAACTCATGGAAAATAATCTACTGAGATTGCTGAGACTGTGTGTGGCCCAGGATGTCTGTGAACTGCAAAGGACTGGAGGATAGAGGAGCACACAGGTGATGTATTTCATCAGTCTGTCCCACTCTTTGGATTTTTCCTGATAGCATGTTTTGCCCATTGCTGGAGAAAGGATATTACATTACCTGCAGTTTTGGTCAGGTCCTGTCCAACACTTCTGCTATCAAACAACTCTGGCAAACAAGAATTTTAGCTTTAAAAATATTGCCTTTCTTTTTTAATCAAGATACAAATGAATTTCCTGGCTTCCAGGCTAGCATATGAGTTCTCCAGAAGTCTGCAGCTCAATTAGTTATTCCAGGATATATTTCTGTTTTTATTAGCTAAGCTGTTAAGAAACATCATGGTATAAATCTCTCTGGTGCTGTTCCTGCAAAACCTAAAAACCTTTTAACCAGGCAACACTGCAGGAAACTCTCACACACCCACCAGCTTGGCTCACTGTCTTTGAGGAACCATAGATTATGGGCACATGAAGGGCTACAGAATTTAATATCATGCCAGCTCAAGTACAGTTAAAAATTATAATTGAATATACTTGCAGTCTTAAGAAACGTGAGGCATTTTTCTTCACAAAGAATTATTACTTTCTAATATCAGCTTTCAGAAAAAAAAAAGAAAAACCATGTAAATTTTTTCTAGAATACCATTGTACAATTTACCCTGCCAGGGGCTCAGGCTATTTATGTTTTTGACTGCACCATCTTCACTAAACTTAAAAAAAAAAAAAAATTTCCATGGTAACCATTGCATCACACAACAAAGACATGTATACACCGCTTAGATCTTTAAAGAAGCAGAGTCTGGAATGAAATTACAGTCTGCATTTCTTAGCAAAATAATATTCTTCTCAGTAAATACTTGTTGTTTTATCAATTCTAATTTTACATTTAAAAAGAGAATATGAAATTGTGCATCTAAAATAGTTCCGTCTTAAAAATGTTAACTTTATGAGAACCATTTGTGCAGGTGAGGTCACTGAGCTGTGAGAGAAGAGAAGGAATGGGTGTGAGATGGTGATATTCTTCAGTTTTGTCTCTCTGCTAATTATCCCAGACATTATTTCCATTTTACAATCTTTATTTCAATGCAGTGTTCATGCCACAGGAAGGCCACAGTGGTCACATATGTATTTATGTATGTTTACCATATATATACACTTACATTTTCAAACTGATTTTACAGGTTTTTTTCCTGTGGGAAAAAAAAAGAAAAAAGTAGAGGCTATTCCATCTGTCTCTAACTTTTTAATAAAGCTCAATACATTCATATGAGAGCATATAGACCTTCAGTAATGCTTCTCATTTTTCACCTCTCAGCTCATGTGCAGCACCCCAGAGCTGCACTGTGTGAGGGTAGGCAGCGTTGCAGAGAGTTGACACAGGAAAGCTTGGAGGCAGAGCCCTTGGTTTGCCTGGTTGCTGCCTTGGGCTCTGGTTCCTACCAGGGCTGTTAAACAGCACCAGGATGTCAGAGCTGGATATTCATGTCTGCCCATACAGCAGCATCAATCAACTGGGGTCTATGCTGGGATATAAAGTTGTTTTTGTGGTTCAAAATAGATCTAAGGCACAAAGCAAGTACTATATCTGAAATCTGGGTAGAAATCTGGCATTTTGATTTAATCTCATGGACTCCACTGAAGTGCCACATTCTGTGGCTGTGGCTTTAATGTGTGGCTATGGGGCCTTCTGGCATATCATGCAAAGTTTCTGGCAGATACTCCGTGTTGGTATAGCCCTGCTCATGTTGGAACCACTTTCCCACTGGAATAAGCAGAGTCTGAGACTCCCTCTCTCTCTCTGCACTATGGAAATTCTTCATTTCTTTGGTAGGCAGAGCTGCCTGCCAATATTTAGCCCTCAGCAATTTTTTTATGATTGAATTATAAAACCTGGAAATATGAGCTTATAATGAAAATGCCAGCACCACATTAAAAATAGCAGGAGCAGTGGGCACTGCTGTAATGATGCTCTTGCTTTGGTTTTAATCCCTGCTCCAAAGCAGCTCTGCTTCCTGAAGCACTGGAGGTAAGGGATCTCAGCACCTGATGCTCTGACCACACCATGTGGGGGGGTGTGCTGTGCAGACTCCCTGATGGGCTGCCTCAGCACACAGCTGAATTTTCAGCTATGCTCCACCATTCCAAGAGCAAGAGGAGGGGCATGAAAAAAGGGGATACAGTTTTCATGGGATTAAATGCTTGCTGTCTGTAATTATTTTATAACTAGGAAATTCCAGTAGTTTGACTTACTTACACTGATGTAACTAACCAAGTAGGGGAAGAGTAGACTCCTGTTTTATTGGAAAAGGGAATAATCTTCACCTTTGCTCTAGTGCCTGCAGCCTCCAGATTATTCCACATTTCTCTGCAGTGCTGTTTGCCTGTTTGGGTAATCTGAGTATGTCTCAGTTTCCATCTGTTGAAGAACCATGTCAGACCTAATGGACTTAGTATAAACTCCTACAGTTTGAAATACTTCCAACTAAAATTTTCGGGCTTACAATAGTGGTTTGTGCCTGAAGTTCAACAGCCTGGGACAGTGTGGAGGGCAGAGCATCCACCAGCAATGGTGCCTTTGAGGGAGGGCACTTTGAAAGTGCTGAAAGCTTCACTTTACAGTTCATCCTGCCTTTACATTTCCCATTTCCCTCATCCTTTCATCTGCATGTGCCTACCTTCTGTCAAGAGCTTATCTGACTGACTGCTGGAGTGGAAGTCAGTAAATTAATGTTATTTGAATATCTGTTTTAGTGCAGTGTCACATATCCAAACACAGGGTTGGGATTTCATTGCACCAGCCACAGATTCAGGATGTGCAGCGGATTGCTGTGTCCATCAAGACAATCCTCTACAATTAGTCATTCTTGACTGAAAATTATTATAATGAGAGCTGCTAATGAATTAGTTTTTGAAAGTCATTGTGGTGTCACAGTGCTAGTGCTGTGAAAGTAAAGGCAAACTTTGCCTAATGAAACAGGAAGAGAATAGTGGAGTCAAGGGAAATAAAATACCCATGGATTAAGCTGGATGACAAGAGGTAGTAAAAGGAAAATGAAGAAACACTACAAATTGAAAGGTGTGTAGAAAAGTTGAGACATAAACAAGCTGTAGGCTGAGGGAAGAGGGGTGGTTAAATTTCTTCAGCAAAAATTTCAAAGGGCAGTGGGAATGGAAGGACCTGTTTGCACAATAAGCTGCTGTTTAGAGCCTTGGCTATGCAATTTCTTCCAGCATTAGAAGTCTATTTTAAATAACAGTTTACATTGCTATGGCAACCATGTATCCTGGCCATTTTCTTTCTCCAAAACAAAAGGGCATAAAATTCCAGAACATTTTTCTGCATCTCACTTAGTCCTATAACTCCTCTGTGAATTAGTTCATGATGGTTACAATTAAGAGTTTGTCTCGTTGGCCCTTACCACTTGTCTATTCTACTTTTGTTTCTTTTCACCTGAAATATGTCCCTCAGAGGCAGGATCTCATTAATCACTGTCTTTCCCAGTAGTATAACTCTACTGATTTTCAGAGATTACCTGTAACGTGTAAGGAACACACTGACGAATAAGCCCTTGAAATTCCATGTTTAATCTCTGTGGTAAAATAGTATTTCTATTAATATTGCAATTTCTTCACTTTAGATAATTGCACCTTTCTTGATTGTGAGATATTCAGTGAAATAAGTGGGAAGAGAAGAATGACTGTAACTGAATAATTTGTGAAATGACATCCCCTTTCTCCTCCTCCTCCCCACTTACACCATCTTTATGACACAACATAGAGAAAAGGATGCTGTCCTATCCAGGAGAGATGAGCAAGTTGATTGGCATAAGGTTGACATTCACAGCTCCAATATCTGAATGCTGAGCACTAGCCAGAACAAGTCTCAATCCCTACACAGGATATTTTTTCAAGTATTTTCAAAATAAATAAGAAAATAGTGAATTAATTCTTTAAACTTGTATTAACAAGCAGTAGTTTTGGAATGAGGCTGTTTTCTTTTGCTCAGGATCATGTTTCCTCTGACCATACCATGCACACAGTAGTGATTGGTGAAGCTGAAACAGTTTTTTTATTTTTTTGTTGATATTATAATTTAAGAACGGTGTTACATCTCCATAATTTTAAAAGATGGACCCCTTTCTAAAAATTATGTATTTACACAGCTACTGAATCTTTTATATCCAATTTCTGTGAAAACAATGTCTCCCTGACTGCTTGCCAGTCAGCTCCTATTGTGAGCAATTAGAAAAGGGCAGTGCAAGCAAGTAAAGCACTCTGGGTTTCTGAGATCTAATCTTTGTAAGAAAAGGAACTCGAGCTGTGGGCATTAATGCATTGTGGTACAGCAGTGCATAAAGCAGTACCTTTTTAAAATTTTGTTCTTGTCCTGACTAATTGGTTCAATGTTAAGTGAGGTAACAGTTTAAAGAACTAACTCATTATATGGAATTACTCTGTCTGCTGTGATACTTAAAGTCATCTTGCAGCACTCTGGAGCTCAATGCATAAAATATTACCTTGGTAAGTAACTCTCCCGCTGGATAGAGCCTTTTCTTTCAGAAGTTAACCTACAGATATGAGAACTCTGTCCTTGCACATAGTGTCTGATCCAGTGCCAGTGCCTAAGGATGTTCTTGGAAAGATTCCCATCTTTAAACACTGGATTGGGGTCCATGGTGCAGTAGCTTAAGTGCTGAGGCTCTGACTTGCGGCAATAAAATATGACATTACTGTTTTAAAGTAGGAAAAAAGGTAAAAGAACGTAAGTTGACAATGAAATACTGATAAGAAAAAGCAAGAGCTGTGTGAAGGCAGAAAAGGGGAATTTATAGAGAAAAACTTGGAAATCATGAAAATTAAAATAATAGGTGCTTTTCCCAGTTTATTCTCATCTGTTATAATATACATGCAAGAGAAGGACAAAGTGTTTTTCTCCACTCAGACAGCTAAATATTATACCAGTTCCAAAGATGTGAAAAATAGGAGACA